AATACAGACACTACAAGTTTCACTAATTATATGGTGGTTAGTGGAACTAAGAAGTCTCCAGTGGACAGAACAAACTTTCAACATGAGCCAGGTATGCTGTCACAAGGAGAACAATCCAAGTAACTCTTGACTCACTGTTCACAAGGGGAAATTCCGCAGGCCCAGATTCCATTGAGCCACCATATGAGGAAGAGGTTATACTTTTCTGGTATCCCAACAATGAGGATAGATAAGTCCAGTGTTAGTAGGTAACAATTTTTCACGTTTTTTATTGGTACCACCCGATGATATTCAAGCGACATCAACACCAACGGCCGCTCGGCAAAAGTCTCAAAGCATCGTTGAATCAGAGGAGCAGGCGGTTGGGCTATACTTTATTAAAACAAACTTTTTTGCAGTATTGTTGATATTGCTCGGGGGAAAGATTATATCCAACATGGAAAATAGTAGTTTGTGAGTGCTACAGTTTTCCGGTCTGAACGTGCGTGGCACAAGCTCTGCCCCATCGGCGCTCTCATTCAGTCGGTTGTTTTGCTGGTTTAGCATGCTGCAGCGCCTCCTGCCCGATAACTGCTTACCATCCACGTACCATTATTTTTCCCTATTTCAGTTCGAATGAGTCTGTGACTTCATAAATTTATTAGGATTACGGTAAATATTTACCCGAAGCCCATGCCCATATGGTGCACGGCTAGATATGAATACGACGCATTCTGGGTACGAAAACCCCTCAACTCAAGGATGTACTTAAGTTAATAGAACATTTCTTTGTAATATCACACATGTATGTTCGTCATATATTTGCAACGTTCCAATGCGCTGTACCTACATATTGCTGTCCGGTGTATAAACGCGCCATGATGAACCTGTTGGGCAAGACTGGATGGCTTGCTAGGGCTCGTCACATCGTTAGCCATTTCCAAAGGTTTTGTCGGATGCACCCATGCCTGTCTTGGTTACGTTTTTTGTGAATGCACAAGTGAGATGCTCCGGAAAGATTGATATAAAGGCAGATGATTACAATCCTAACTGACGATTAAGTACACGAAACTGCAGTTAATCCACATTTTATAGTCGAAGTTTCTGTTTTGTGGCCCGTCCGAAACCCTGCAGTGACCACCACCGTGGTGGAGCTCTTGTGGTACGTTCCTGAACATACATTGAGCAAATAAGGCCCGTTGCCTTTGGTCATACTTAGATGGTATTAGGGGAAATGCCCATAAAAACTGATAGGCAGTTGGTCAGCAATCGAAACCAGCGGGAAGAGCAAAACTCTCAGGAAAGACATTGTCTGATCCAGCCGGTGAATGCGTTGGCGTTACAGCCTGAAGACGAGCATCTAATCAACGATAAACACAGAGTGCTGACCGGTTGCACCAGGATTTCATCCAACAGGTGCTCGGCTTGGGCAACACGACTGCGCGTATGAAGCTGGACAGTTGTTGGCGGCTATGACTGTCTACATTCGTTTACGGGGGCGGCACCAACCCATCACCAAGAGCGCCTATCAGACGATAGAAACACCAACCAATTGTATGGGAGACTTGAAAACGTTTATGGTGATACTACGACGGATGGGGGGCTTCGCAAACAAAACATGTCGATTTACGCTTATACGCTGTTCGCGTCGGCGATGCGTCCAACTTGTTGTGAGAAGAACAATGCACACTTGCCAATGGCTTTCCGCAATGCGCTCTCTGGAGAGCATACAAATTGGACCTGCACGATAAATACCTCGTTTTCGACTGTATAGTTATACATAGTCGCTGAATGGCGCTTTAGGTATCACTGATTTGTGTCAACAACACTCCCATTACATGAATGTAGAGATCGTGTAGGTCGGTGGGGATTATATTAAAAAACCGTTACACCTTACGCAAGGACAGAGAGCGACTGGAATTCGGGAACTGACGGCGAAGACCTAGATCGAGAGTAAGAAGCTTTTCTCCATAGGTCTTAATGCTCGTACCGTTGGCTGCCTGCAGAGCATATGACACCGGCTGTAGGTTATGCTTGCGTGTAGGAGGAATTACACCAACCTCAGCACCGGTATCGATAAGGAAATTCAGGGACGTGGGGGGTCATATACGATGAACAAGCGACTGGTAGAGGGGCCGGGTGCAGTGGTCGCCATTACTGGCCGGCCATGGCGTTTCCCGAAATCGAAGGCTCTGTTGAGAATTCACTGCCGTACAACCATGATTTAGTTGAAAGCTTTATTGTAAGAAAAGGAGTAAATGTGGACAGGGAAGGGACTTGTTGCTAGCTTACCACAATCATTCTGAGGTGCATGTGCCTCCAGACACTCATTCAGGCGATCTGGATAGAAACTGATAACAAGAACGCCACTGACATCGACTAGCAGCAATATCTTGTAGTATCTCCAACCAGGCACAGTGAGGATCACGCGGTTCCGATCCTGGAAGGCGAGTAGCACCGACAGCACCCAAGCGTTTCGCGATCTTCATACTACTCTGCCAAGTCAAGGGTTGGTCATCTCTCTGTTTGCGCCACTCTGAATTGGGCATGGAAAACAGCACTCTCTTCGGCAAACAATGGTTCGGTATACGTTACAACACTGCCGCAAAGACCCTTCACATCACTGCTGAGCCTGTCTCCTGACTCCGGAAGCACTAAGGGTACGAAGTACCAGCCGACCAACCCCTGGCCAGGCATGGTCAGCCTGCAGGTTGTAGCGGTCAATCAACTTAATCGAACCACGCCCACCGGCGCGCACGCATATGTGCGGGCACGTGATTCAGTTCCATAACCATTCATACCCTCGGTTACCAGCCATACCTATCAAGACTGCGACTCGGTAACTCCTTCGAAGATACAGGCTCACCGAGTAACGGGCTCCAGGCACATGGTGGCTGATTCGTGGATAGCGAAGAGGAAAAGTTTTATGACGAACTGGCCCTTGTGTGATGTCTTATGGTCCCTGTGTAATTGTGCCTAGCCATATCCCCACCTATCAATAATGTAGAGCGCAAATGCACGGCGACTTGATCAGTTGTGCACTTTTTGTTGTCTTTAGGTGACGATAGTTCCCCAGTCGTGGTACTAAACACCGATGTCTGAACTATTTTGTCACCGAAGACACCGGGATCTTGCTGTGAAATTTCTAGCCATGGCAACTCATCTTACAACGTACGAGACCTGTAGTGACTATCCAGACACTTTGTCTTCCACATCTGTGTGTTTCTGAACTGTCCTTTGCGTTTCAACATAGAAATGGTATCTAACAAAGTGAACCAAATATTCGTGTTGTGTCTCTTAGTTGGCCTAGTTACTGGTTCTGCACGACCTTTAAAACTGTAGAAAGCAGCACAGCCACGAAGACCGCTTCCATTTTTTGCCTCTGTGGGAAATTTCGGTCCTAAGTTTCAATTTACGTACGTAAGCGTTCATAGGCGTTAGAGCTTAGGGTTCTACCAATTCCTTATTCGCCTTTCGGGCGAATCGGAGCCATCCGACAGTGTTGGAATGTATTGTTCAACCGGTTTGGTCCAACGTATCCTGTCGGACCGCTGAGCATTTCAGGTTTTAGGTTTTCCTTGTAAAAACCGTGGTCGAGAAAGGAAGCATCATAGTCTTCGTTCATAGGGTTGTCCAAAAACTGCTCACGGGACATTCATTTTAGTCGGTATTCACAGTCCATCTCGTAACATCCGTAACTAATTGGGCAGTCAGAGCCAACAGATTTGGCCTGTTTATTGGTGGTCAGACTAAAATAGGCGAAAGTCAGTCCCTAGATGTCCTTTGTGACCAGCAAGCGCTTTACCCCATTCCGTCAAGAATGTGCGTGTCCAGCTGTTGACTGATTCTTGTAAGTGAATATAATTTTGGCAACTGCTTTGCTATCCATACCTGAAATCACATAACCTCACAAAGTTTTACGTTTCATACTTGGAAATAAACTTACATTCTTGTCAGTGGAATAAATAATGACCATCATAACCCTTCTACATGAATAAGCTTACAAATGTCGTACAACACCATCCCGTGTATTTTACCATTACGTGACAGGACTACGAACTATTCACCAAGTTCGGCAGGTGATGTGTGCCTTAGACCGGAACTCCTGCCCACTCGCCAGCGATGTTTGCCTCACTCAGCGTTCAGAGTGATCTGGTGATCAATAGAAGTTCGAGCATGTATTCAGGGCACCACATCCCAATCTACCAAAAAGCTTCTCCAAATGACGTTGTGGCACGTCTTTGGCAGCATTGCTTACATTTAGCGCAGCTGTCGATACAAATCCGCCACACTACACTCGGTTTGCTCACGACTCCCGTCGAAATATGGATGGTAACGAGGGTTTCTGCACAAGCATCACATGTACCCGGTCGTAGCGAATAAATATTCTGCAACACAGCGTCCTCTGTTGGCGACGTTCAGACGAGGCGCTGCTATTGTACTCGTGCTCCACGTATACAGTTACAAGCGATCCAAGCAAATACCAAGGCTTGACAATATGAACCTCGATCCCGCAATCATTCTGACTTAAAACCGTCCACCGTTTCACAAAAATCAATGTGCAGCACTCGCAGTCGGGCTCCGGGTGACGCTATTAACTACCTGGACTACTGTACGTTGATCCCTTCGATTAGTTGACAGTGACGGACGTAACAACCGACGTTCGAACGTCACCACGGCTACTGTGGCATCCTTCTTTGGGATAGCGTAGAACACCACCATCACACTGCGACGAACCAGTTCCAACGAATGTGAGTTTAGCAGAAAAACGGTTTGATCGTGTTTTCAGTGTTCCAAAGACTGCATCACTGTTCGAACACCGTGAACTAACAGTGGTCACGTGACCATGAATGAATAGAATCCATCCGCACACACTTCTCTATTGTCTTTTGATTTTCCAGCTTTCAATGCCATCCCGTGACCTCCTGCGATTATTTGCGACAGCTGTAAGGTGCGACGTAGTGAATAGTAGTATGACTGCTTGCACATAGATTCACAACGCCAGCGCCCTATCGAGTGAAATGCGTTTCCTGGATTTGAATGCTGCCTTTAAAATGACATGCGAACTACAACAGCATATTGTCAATATAATCTTTGCTCGCCAGCGGCGTATGACGGAACAGGAGATCGAATTCCAGATAAGAATGATAAAACCAGAACCAGGTAATCCGTCATAACGTTATAAGGCTTATAACTTATGTTTTAGAAGGCGAGGTTTCAGTAAGTCAATTTTCCTTTATCTAGTCTAGACCATACCGAGCGCCACGCCCTGCAACCTGTCTTTGGAAGGCGAAGCTTCCCATTCGCACAAACCGGACTCAGGTGCGTTAGTCTTGTCACTTTTTTGTCATTATCACGCCATGATGTGATTACCTCATCTTCTGATTGGTCTATTAGCGACCCTACCCTGGGTCAGGTGGGCGCAGAAGTTAGCCCAGTGACTCTTGGCTCTAATTTACCTGAAACACCCTTATTAGTTTACTACCTTGGTGACATGAGTGATCGCATCTACGCGTATCTGGATTAAATCTGCAGCCAGATGATCGCTCCCCCTAATGTACCAAAACGCCTAACTGTTATCTTTTACCTCACTCTTCACCGTTTCGATGACCTTATCAGCAGCCATCGGGTACTCATTGCTTTCAGTGTAACAGTGCCGAGTAACCTTAGTCGCCATTCCCCCCACGTTCAAGCTACCCATGGTGGAATTCGATGTCGTTTTTCGTGGTACGAGACTGAGAATGCTGTCTGTTCACTGGTGATTAGTCTATTATTCTTTAATTCATCACTTGATTTGCTGTCCGCTTCCTAAGATCCATTGGGGATGACTTTTGCCTTATTGTTAGGTAGCTACACCGCCCCTAGTTGCAATGAAATATCGACAAACGAGCTGGGTAATTTTATAGCATGCATGTTGATTCCTATTTCACCTTGACCCGACGAATTCTTCCCGGCACTTAGCATCCTTTCCACCAGTCACTGCTTAAAGCCATACTCACCTGATGCACTTCACTCAGATACAAAATTTTGCCCGTCAGGACTTCTAATCTCTTACGTTGCTCGTTTTCTCGCAAATCCAACCACTCTGCGTGATAACCTTGCGTCTTGCTTACGGGATGGATATTTCCGACGACTTTCTAATGTGTGTCGAATAAGTTTGTCATTTTCGTGTCATACCGCTGTGAATTCGTGCCGAAAAGTCGCCTTAGGGTGTATGAAGTCTCACTTGACCTGGCCCGACCGTCTTTAAGCGGACTCTCCTGTTGACTCTGCACACAAACACCAAGTTTGGCCCCATACATGTAATTAGGATATTGAAGTTGTGTATCTGTTTAGACGTTCGAGTAGCACTGCGTGCATAACTGTGAACTCCGGAGATGTCGAACATTGTTGCGCACCGCCATTCTGAGGTGCATCTGCTTTCTCCCTCGTGTTCTACCAGCACATAAAATATAGTTCCCCAAGTATCCGGTTATGACGGAGTACACTCAGAGAGGTGTCGCAATCGCATCGAGTAAGAGGGCTCAATTAGCCATTATAGTCTGAAATCCAATTGGTGGGCGTTTACGTCCCAAACCAAAGGCTGTCATGCTGCAATGATTTCGCGGATTAAACTGTTCCTTCCAGGACGTTTAACCATGCCAGGAGGAGTAACGAAGGGTAAACAGGGGACAAAACCATACCGTCATCTGCGACAGGGATCAGCTATTTCCTCCATGCGAACAGTATGTTTACGGCCATGGAAACGGCGACACCGCATTTCCCGTAGGAGAGATGGGTTAGGGAAGGTTCGTCCTAAAACCCATACCCCGCTAGTTCGACAGTCCACAGGTGCGTGCAAATTATTCAATACGGTCGAACCCAATTCAAAATTTTCCAAGAAGCCGATGCGGCTTTCAACACATCTACTGCACACAGTATCACCAAGAGTGAAAAATCCACACGTTACTCCCTGCTGCCCCGGGCTGGGTATCCCGCAGTCAAACTGTCCAGTGTCGTGAGTGGCTCCCGATTATTTGTCAATGTCGCACTGAACGTAGCAACGTTATGAATAGAAGACCAAGTAGGATCTAAACTGTCTCTGCCTGTGGGCGGAGATCCTGGATTGAGGTAAAGCGATGACCAAACTTACTAATATAGCCGAATCACAGCCGGTATCAATCCAGCACCAAGGTTGTTCCCCCCTCAGGCCATTCCTCACCTGATCACGAACCTAGAACAAGCGCCAAGAAACCTGCTTCACCATATACATGTCCCCCTTATTCGCTGTATTATCGATTGACGAAACTGTAGCAGCTGGAGCCAGTGAGCCCGTTATGCGCTATTTAGTTGAACAGTTAATGATTGCGTCAATCATTTGAGACATGCTTAAAAACCATTTTTATGCAAGTCGGTTGACAAGTTACGACTAAAAAGTGGCCTACCAAAGAGTCCGAGTTTCTAGTTGTAGTCACAAAGCGACTCGCACCACGACTTCGTAAGGTCATGCTTTCTGATCGCTCAGCCATTTTACTGCCACATGGGAAGAATGAGTATTTTTATAAGGTAACTTCATACTTATTGTCTGACAAGACAGTAGGAGTGAAGCTGGCAAGCAGCACCGGTGTGTGTTTCTCTCACGAAAGTCAATCCGAGTACTTTTAACTGCAAGCCGACTTGTCGCATACAGTACAGACCCCGAATCCTATCGATCAGCCGCAATTCACCGACTACCTCTCCTGTTTCAGGTGATAGAGAACTGGGAACTCAAGAAGATGCAGCAGTCCCCAGCCAGAGTTTTATGCCACTGGATGCTCCGGGTCCAGCTTCCACGGCGTCTTCTACTCCCGATACAGATCCATCAGCCAACACCTCCGACGGCCACGGAATCTTCCCACCAGAAGCTGCAAACAATGACGCGACCGTCCCAACGGATAATGTCCGTCAACCTACAAAAAGGCATCGATTGGTCGCACTGGGAACTCTGCATCCAGATTTGGCGACGGGATTAAGATCACCTGACGATCTATCCAGCCAGGTTCCTTGTACCGCTTGCCACTTACGAGTGCAAACAGGTTGCGAGGCCGCAGCCACCATGGCTTGTCCAGCATGTCCCGGACAACCCGCGATTTGTTCTGCTCAATGTTTTCGCTGGTGGCACAATAACACTAAGCCAGCGAACGAAGCATTCAAGACGTGCATTACCCCAACTGAGGTAGACGTGCGTCCACCATCGTTCTTTGAGACACTTAATCAACTCAGTCATTTCGGCCCCTCACCAGCGGTTGCATTCCACCGGTCCTTCCCAGCAGCAGTGTGCAAACGCCGTCGCAAGGTGACAATGCGTGCTGGGCGTCGATATAACTGCAACCTCAAACGGTCCCGTTCTAAGGCGGCACATGGCGGCACACGAGTACACGTAGCGTCTAGACGTGGTAACAGAATGCGAAGGCACGTCAACAGATATTCACCAGTAATCCCAAACTCCCAGGATCCCAGTCAATGACACGAGAAGTGTACAACCCCCAATCAAATGGAGAAAAATCACGTATTTGCGTCAGTAGATTATCTCTGTACAAAGGCATTTTATGTATCGCAAATTCCAAGATCACATGCTTGCATCTTGTCCTCTTCGCGCTCTAGAAAATAATTGTGCTTCACCACGTAACGAACGCATTGCATAAGTTGGTTTCTTTCTGTCCGCATTTCGTCGGCCAGGAGCTGTATTGGATGGGGAAAAACGTGGCATGTAACAAGTGCAGCGAAATGAAGAAGGATCCGACCTGCCAGTGGAGACAAACGCAGGTCGCCTCCAAAACCTCAAGTGCCATCTCGTGCAAGTGATTCTAAAAGTAAGATTTACCCCGACAATGAGTAGCAAAAAGTAAAGAAACTGACAATAAACAGACCACTTGCAATGTCGTAGGTAGGCGGTTTGAAGAAACTGAAAGGACACGTGAGAGCGTAGATGTCATGGACTACAAGGGATTAGGAAGTGAAATAACGCCGTAGAAATCAGCCACATTGTTGAGGAAAGTATGACCTCTTCACCTGTTGTGTTCCCTAGCGTTTAAATTCTGAGAACAAGAGATAAATCACCTTTGGCTGAATACCATATCACGTGCCTCACCTCGGTTTTTCTACTTAAGTGACCGCAGTCGAGTGAACCGCATTTTCACTGATCACGTGAGGATTAAGTATTTTGTGATAGGCATGTCGAGTCCCCACTAAAAAAGAACCTGAATGCATTGCTGCGAGGTGCGCCAATTGACCTTGCAGATGTTTCATCCTGCTTTTCATTTATCTGCAAAGTTGTTTCCAAAAATAGTTGATTCATTCTCCTCTCCAACAAATATATCACCATTTTCAATGGATGCACACCTAACATTCGACCGTCAAGTTAAGGCACGGTCAATAGTATTGCTCACCTGAGTTGGCTTGCTTAAAATTCTAATTCTCTTACGCTAGAACACGGACTGAAGGTAATGATGCTGGGGGCAGTGTACAATGATTTCAAACGTGTCGAGCCGCTAGTAACAAGTTGACCTTGCGAGATTTGTAGAAGTCGCGTTCACACCACTGGTTGAATTCAGATTCTAAAAATCTCGCAACCACCCACAACTGATCCAAAATTGCTGAGAGGCTTCAGACGTCCGTGGCGTTATCTGAGTGTGAAGTGCTGACAAATCGTTCAGCTGTGACACCCTTCCGGTGCCTAGCTGTCATGCCACCCGAAGGAAGCACCAGGGCTGAGATACTACCAGGTTGCCCAAACCTGGACAGGAGCAGTCGAAATACTGAGGTTGGGTTCGAACCACCGACCTTCCGGTCCGTCGGCCGGCGCCTTAGCTACTCAGCTCAGTCAGTTGGCAGATAAATCGGTCGGTTACAGGACCATAGCTGGAGGCGTCAGCCTAACCAGTCCTGTCCAGACCTGATAACTGAGACACCCCAGTGTGTGCTGGTGAAGTGGTAGCGCGCTCACTTCACATACTTGATGTAAAGGATTCAACTCCCCGCATAGCCAATGATGACCCCTAGTTATATACATTTCCTCTTTTGTCCCTATGACCCATAATAACTGCTCCAGGAAGGATAGGAATTGCTCAAACGAGGGTGATGAGAACACATATTTACAAGCCTTGAAGCAGGAAGCTGAAGAATACGTGAATGCGTCGGCCAGACGGGTAACTCGAATACGTTATCTTATGAAATTCAACTACACGCTGATTGGGGCTCTTGACCGAAGTGTAGAAGACAGAATTATATCACAATTAGGCGCCCATTTACTGAATCTGCTCGCTGTTTATGACCTATGTTTACTCTAGAGAACTGAATGTGATAATGGGTTTAACGCCTCTTCAACATCTACTCCTGACTCATTGCAATACAATGCCTCTCGAACTTTTCTTCGAATTACGAAACCTATCATTATGAAATACATACTTCACAAATACAAAATCACTGGCGAATGCGCTGGGCGGTTGGAGGATAGATGCCAGTTTATGAACGTCGAAGTGATGGTCACTGTGACGTGGTGCGTGTTCTTCTCGATGGTGAGAAAGTGGACCGTACGGACGTCGTTAAGCCTTAAGCCACAGTTGAACTTGTCCACAAACCTGGATATCATTCACGTACGTTTACGATCAAGTTGCCCGATCGGCATTAGAAGTGGGTGGGTCTCAGCTCACAACTTTCCACCCTTAACTTAGCTGAGATCTGCTCGTAAATCAGTTCCGCGTATGGATAGAATAATGGCGACTAGTTCTCAAGTCTATTTATAAGGAAAACACTGAACGGAAAACTGCATTTCAATTCTCCCTTGACTTCCCCGGTGTTCAATTCAGACCGGGTGAGGTTATGTATAAAGATAACGGGCAGTCAAACTACACAACCGAACCGTCAAGGATAGAGCGAGAAAGTGAGTTTATCTAACGAGAAACTGAGAATAAGCGAGTATTTTATCTTTGGCTATCACAACACATGTGCCAAATGTCGGAAAAATGTAGAAGCGGAAAGTAATTTTACGTCGAGTTTAATGTATCAACATTGATTAGTGGAAATCGGTTCGCGCAAACTATGAAAGCATATATTGGAGATGTTTTTTCACGTTTGCCCGAAAGCACACATGGTGGTATTCACATTCCGAAATTGATCATTTTACACAATGGGCGATAAGAGAAAGAGCAATCTGATGCGCTTCTGAAACAAATATCAAGTAATTTATGGAGTTACTTAGTGCAGAACTGAAAGCCCAGAATGAAGAGACAGTTCATCTGTTGACAAACGGTGACCTCTGGAAAGATTCCACTGCTTTTGTGCAGTACCAGCAGGCGACAAACACTGCTGCAATCGCCGGATATGCATGACAAACTCGAGACAAATAAATTTTATTTTCAGCGAATATACACTCATTTGCAAACTGATTTGGTTTTTCGAGAGACTCACCTGGAACCCAGCTGAATCTCTCGTTTGTGATGTTCTCAGGCAACTGAATGTGCTGCACCAGGCCGCCTCATGTTTCAGTCGCTACGATATTCGAGATATCGCGACACACGTAAATATCTGTGATGTACTGTTCATAAGGTGGGCTGTCGACGGATTTTCAGCAGCCTTATGAGTACATCACAAAAATTTTATTTTTGTCCTATTAATTTGGCGCACTTTCCACTGCTTGGTTGTTCTATCATGCCTCAAAGAATATATTTTATTTGGCTTAATAGAAGTCGACACGAACAGAGATTCGTTTCGCTGCCGAAAAAGACAATTAGGGTACATTCAAATTTAGATTATTCCGAGGAAAACATTCCAAAAAATAGGATTTCGAGAGTATTAGAATACTCAAACTCTGTATCATAGCAGCCGTCGCCTTCCGGGAAAGGCTAACCAGAAGTGGTCTCGGTTGAGTGACATTCAATGAAAAAAATACCTCGCACAAACTTCCCTTTGAATGCCTTACACATCTGAGATGCAAGATCTTAGGTGCAGACTGTCGTTGCAGTTCCCCCGCTCTTCTAATCCAATGTGGCCTGAATTTTTCATCTACATCAGTAAAGTGCAAATCACGATAACAAACTGCAGTATCAAAGGGAAAGGACGACGGTTTGTGTGCGTGGCTTTTGTACTACGTTGTTAAAGATCTGGCGCAGGACAAGTAAAACCGCATGTGGAGCCGTCCCGACACTGTCATCATCATCATTGTCAGCTATAATGACCGCGTACTCGTCGTACGGTGGTTGTAGCTGCCGCAGTTTCGTTCACCGATGATTTGGGGGGGGGGGGGGGCGGTAGGTAGTTGCGATTTGCAGGCGGGAGCTGATAAATTGGTGCATAGATCCAGCACTGTGTTATGTAAGACACGGGAAAACTAACATACGAGCATAGGGCCGGTGCTTCGCTAGACTACAAGACTTCTCAATATGGAAGGGATTTCCATACGGGATTAAGAACAAGTGGTTGCGTGTTTAAAAACCACTGCAGACGATTTTCGGTCTATCTGTGAGGCTTTTTACCAAAATATCCCCACACATTGGTCCACGGTTTGTACTGAGAGATCGTCTCCCGCATTGCGAAAATCTAATCCAAGAAGGCAACCACAAAGAGAGTCGTTTTTGTACCCGCCAAGGGTGTTCCCATTAAATGTCCATCTTGTATGTAACCTAAGATCACTTTAGCAGACCTAAGCTGACTGAAATATTAAAAAAGGTACAGAAAGCGATGAAAGTCCATATCCAACATGTGTAAAAAAATCAATCCAAGGGGTCCCGCGGTCTGAGTGCGACGATTTGACTTTCCAAGAAACTGGTTTGGCACGACGGAGTTTACTGTACGCAGTCCGCCACCGAACGGCAGGTGAAAATCGACCAAGTAATGCTGAACTACGATCGATAAACAACGGAGTTCACGAGTGGGTTATTGTTATTACCAAAGAAAGCAGTACGCCAGTGGTGGAAACTGGTGCTTAACTGCCACAAAACGATGGAGAGAGAGAGAGAGAGACGGCTCAAGCTTCTCGTTGTAATGCTCCAAAGAAGTCCATTAGGGTGGAGAATCCTGAAGTAAGGCCTTGAATTTTAAGAGTGCGATCTACATGCCGCAACAGAGAACAACTCCGATACTGTTCAAGTAACTTATTTAGACGGTCGTCCAATAATAGACTGCTGTCACACGCACATCTTATGATGGCGCCGACGAGAAAGTGGACAAAAGCGGAGAGAGATGACATCCCTGATGAACTCCCCTAGTTGTGGGGGAAATGTTGGACAGTTCACTGTAAACTCCTAAGCCACAAGAAGTATGGAAATAAACTGCACTGAAAATATCGAGAAGGACCTAAATACCACTCCTTGTCGGTTGGGTACATGTGGAAAATCCAATCTTTTTAAGGAATCGGAGAATGCTTTGAAATCAAGAAAAACCGTCATAAGTGGTTCGCAGTGTGTGCGACATCACCTAAGCACACGATCACGTGGAGATGTCGACAGTGAACTCTCTAACTGGACGAGATCTTGCCTGGTGCTCTCGAACTTGTGTCTCGCGTGAAAAAGGTGGCAATGTTATTGAGGCTAGTAGTCGCGTTTCAAACGGAATAAAGTTTACATCTATATGGTCGGTAACTCTTTTGAATAAGAGTACAATGACTGATTAACCTCCGACTGTTGCGACGCATTCTTCTTCTAGTTTAAACAACTTGATCAAAGACCCTCGACCTCCTTGAATAACGCTAGAAGAAACTCATCCAGCCCAGCGGCCTGATGGCGCCCCATGAGAGAAAGACATATTCGTATTTCCGAAACTCAGGGAGGGTCCAAACTGACACCACGGCTCCAGTAGAGGTGGTCGAACGAAAGGTAGGCACAGGCAGACGGCCAAATGAGCGTTGTCCAAAACATGTGGCCCAGTGGTCAAGTCGGTCGTTTTCGTTGTATATCCCTGTTGTTATGCTTGATTGCACTAACAGCCGGCTTCTTCGGTTCCGTTTTGTACCAAGTGAAAGCGTTTCCCAACATTCACAGCTACACTCCCTCCACTTCCTGAGCCATCTTAGTCCACAAGGTTTCTCTGTCCGCACAGTGATTATGCTTGAGCTGACTCGCAACAGCTCTCGTGGCCGAATTATTCTCAGTGTTCGAAAGGATACAAAGTTTGGAATCGGCAAGTGACAGTTATCTTTATGAAATCCAATGTTTACTTGGTAGGACTTCAGAAAAAAGCCACGTACCGAGTTCCTTGTCGCACGAATGACAGTGCTCATCTTGTCCCAGCTACGACGGACGTCTGTGAATGCGGCTTTCAGAGCCTCGTACGGGCTAGTTTGATAGGAGTTTGGCTTTTGTGTCAGAGCTTTCCGATTGCTAGATGATGAGTTTGTTCCTTCGATCTCACTCTGTATCGAACAAAAGTATGACCCGAATAAACGTAAGTGGTAAAGAATGTTCGAAACTCAAGAGTGGAGCCTCACCACTGGGCGCTACCGGATACGTGGTCAGTTCAGCAACACAAAGATGTCCACTGCTTTTGAGGCACAACTGATTGTGCAAAACTCCATGTACTCCCGTTAATGAACTACTGTCCACGTGATCACTGATCAGCCGCGTTAGGTCAATTTGTCCGTAAGTACGCCCAGAAGGCACGTTTAGACAGTTTGAAAAGGTGTACATCATGCATATAGTTAAGTGACTTCTAAGGGATTGATGTATGTATCACTTGAGGGTATAATTGTGATGCATTTGGTTGTGAATCAACAGCAAACAGCCCTTAATTTTACTACCCATTCTCAGCATGACTTACGCACGTTTACTACAACGCCGTTTTGCTCCCCTGCCGCTCACCCGGGACCCCTCGGAGGGCAGGCAATCGCGCGATCTGATGCGCCAACTCGACCTCCTTGAAAGCTCTATCTCTATGGACCTGCACTAGAACTGAAATCGTTAACACTCAGAACTCAGAAGATGATCAACTGTCACCGTCTACGATATAGAAGTCTTGACTTCTGGAGCAGAGCGGCAGCGCATGTCCAAAAAAGATCATTGGTGGTCAATTTTGCAGGAACGCACAGGCCAATCTGAAGTGTCCGGTCGTACTGCACAAAGAATGCAAGTAGTTTGATGTTATTCAAGGTCAAGATAAGTGAATCTAAGACACATTAGCAGAGCATTAAAAATCGCAATACAGTGGAAAAACAGAACCTACCATATGTAGGAGCGTTGGACGGCTGTGAATTCGATTAGGGTTCTTTGAAACAATGCGACGCTTCATGGCCATTTGCACAACAGGATGAGATGAGAAAGGATCTTTTTCTGAGGGTGGTGGAGGGGGAAAACCTTCGTCTGCAGAGGCGAACTTGTCCTCCGCTTTCGTGAGTGTTCGCGAACGTTTTGCAGTTCGACGTCGACCACCACGTTGACGACGGCCGCGAGATGATTTGGTAGGGGGGTTTGGTAGGGGTTCCACCTAGTCAAAGAAGAATAAACATGAACCGAACGAAATTGTACTGGTTATATTTAGAACATCCTACTACTTTAGTGCCAAATGCCTGGACTGAGAGAAAGCGCAGACGGATTTTCGTAATGTACGATACAATTTAAGGTAGCAAGGCCGGTCGATCCCCGTAACGGAAAAATGCAACGAGAGAGGGGCAAATTTTACCTGTATATCCCGCTTATGATATTCTTCAACCAAATGTGCTACAAGAAGGCCACTTTGAGGTTCAGTTGACGAACTGTTCAAGATATGGAAGTATTTTTCGTGGCATAACACTCTACTTACAAGGTAGCAGAATACTATTCGACAGTCTACAACCGATGTCGCTCTTCTTGGGGCTTATAATAGTACGTGTAGACTCCGAGTTTCCATTAACCTTATTTTCTGCTCAAAGTACATCACAAACAAGAGGTTCATCAGACTCTCGTGTTAACAGCAGATTAATCTGCAGACTAGTTTAACGCTGCACCTACGTACTGTTAGGCTTTCAAACAGAAAGCAGGGTTGATGGAAACTTCCTGACGAGCTCCAAGAAGGACGAAGCGGGCGGTGAGCTGTCAAGAAGTTTTTATCAACCCTACGACTATGGTTATGTCAAGAAAAGCTATATGGGCTCACTTTGTTGCAGTTACCGCGGTCAGTATCAAACACTATGGGATTACAGAAGGCAACATAGTATCATAGACCTTATCAGACATGCTAGGACTGCTGCCCCTCAATGTGTCAGTTCCTCATTTGACCAAACTACACTGAATGTATGCACAGATAAGCACTGCTCTGAAAATCAATGTGGCAATAACGGAAGAGTCAACGAGATCCTAATTCGCAAAGGACTTTCTATTTGTATGCGAGTCCCATTTGGTGACCAATTACGAGATCCCTGTGAAAATTCAGGAATTGGGTAAAAAAAAAGCGTGAATCCGGTTGAAGCCTGTTCAATAGTTTGCAGTAGTGCCATTCATATCAAGGAAAATATGCTAGAATACGAGAAAAATAATCTCTTTTCCATTGGGACATGAGGCAGCTGCTGTGAATCACATTCGGTTGAATGGTAGCACGAACGAAAGTTTCATCTGAGCATCCAGCTAACATCAACTCAACTCGCAAATGAGCCTTTGATTGTATTCAGGTCCAAGTTGGGTTCGACTGATAGATAAAATGGGTGAAAATTCGGAGATCACACCTATTTGATGAGCCAGGTAAAGGGCAAAACGGGTGGTGGACTATCCAGGAGCTTTGTCAACCAACATAAACGTTTCAAACACAAGTGCGTACTGGAAGCACTTCCAAATCTAACAACTGACCAGAATGGGGAGAAAAGCGTTAGTACTGTTATTGCAACACAGACCAAAAATAACCAGAACCTAAGATCACAAGAGCGGGTCAATAATGACATCCCACTCTGCTGTAATGTCACAGCAAAAAGGCAAGACCCGAGATCAATGAACCTAGAACACTGGAAACGGAGAAAGATGAAACTGAAAGGCATTGTGCAAATGTGACATAAAGGGACCCAACAAAATTTTGAAAAAAAACTGCGAAGCAGTGTCTAACCAGAATTCTGAGGAGCTTGAACCAGTCCGGGTTGAATAGGTAAGTACTTACAGTTTCACAAGTTTCTGTATTTCCGACAAGCTGTTTGTCAGCAGCTTTATCGTCAGTGTCGCTATTGGCACTGTCATAGTCCGCAGCCACAAGACTCGGAAGGAGAGGACTCTCGGGTTTCTCTGGGTCGGGCGAAAATTGGGAACTGTGTGGCAACGTTGTCGATTTTGCTTTTGGCCCGGGGCTTACTGAACCAAACTGGACACAGAAATGTCAGTAGACGGAAAGCAGACGATGAACATATAGTATAATGGACGGGGTTCACTTATACATACATGTGTGATCAAATGCCAACAACGCTTTAACAAGCAGAAAACTGAGTATCGGACACGAACGTTTCGCAGCGAGAACACAATCAATCAACATCATCGGAGACAGCAACATCAGTGCTCATAACCAGAAGGTAATTTATTAAAAGCCAAAGAGTGAAAAGAAGAGGAAAAGAGTGGGTGAGGGAAGGAACCTAGTGCTGACCTATGTCAAGCATTCTGAGATACCTACACCTCCAACCGCTCAATAAAACAATCTGGAAAGAAACTGACAGGAAGAAGGCCACTGACGTCGTTCAGCCGCCACTTTTTGCAATGTCTCCAGCCAAGCGCAGGTTTCACGGAGACCCTATCTTGGAAGGCGTACAAAATCAACAACAAGCTCTCTGTAACCTCTTTCACACCCTTCTGTCAAGTCACTTGTTGTCCACCTCGTGGTTTCCGCCATTCTGAAGCACTCATGGAGTACAGCACTCGTTTCGGTAGACGGTGTTTCGGCATGCGTAGAAAATGACCAATCCATCGTAGTTGATGGTGCTGGATGTTTTCCGCCACAGTTGTGTCTACAGTACGGCAAAATACCCGTTTCCTAATCACTCCGTTAATGATCCGTCGATGTCATCCAGAACAAGCAACACTTCTGAGGCGTCGGTGGTCAAAAACCCAAGGACGCCTCACATCATCTGTTCGCATAGACCACGTCTCGCAGTCATACAACACAGTCATCACTATAGTCTGGTACACGAGACCCTTGAGATAGACACAGTGATAGGCCTTTTTGACTCCACAAGCGGCGCAAATCAGCAAGTGGTTCGAGCCTTTGAGATTCCTTCATAAACTTCATCACATACATTTCTGTTAGAGCTAATACAACTACCGAGGCAAGTAAAGTTCTCCACAACCTCCAATGATTCTCCTTGAATCGTAAGGGGTATGTTCGGAGACCTCATGTTCTGAAGCATACTTGAATTGTAAGGGGTATGTTCAGAGACCTCATGTTCTGAAGCATAACTTTTCACTTTGAAGGTGCTAGGCGCGTGCCGACAGAAGGTATGGCAGCAGTCAATCAATTCAACTGGACTTGTGTTTCGTCTGGGTTTTCAAAGGTGAAGACGACGCCGTCTCCGTACTCCAGATCGAAGAAGTTCTCATCAGCGGCAATTTGAACACTGGGATTTTGGAGATTTATCAGGGCTCGTCTCATTGCTTCATCAATGCCGAAGTCGAAAAAGAGATGGTCCCATGGTTAGAGCGCGAATTTACTGACTGGAAGGTCCGTGGTTCGAACCCGACCTCTGCATCTCGACTTTTTCTGTTTGGGATACCTGGCAGCATTCCAGGCCTGGTGCATCCTCCGGGTGGAATGACAGCCAGGCACTGAAAGGGTGTTACAGCGGAACTTCTCTCTATTTTAGCAAGTTAAATAAAGCCATGGCTTTACCTTAGAAAAGCAAATCACGTGACAAAACTGTAATTTCTATGTTTTCATCTGCGGAGTCAACTTTAGCAGCCCCTCCTGAGGAATTCAACCTGAAAGTTCAGTCCAGTCCGGTCAAGTGAGGGTAAGCTTCGCGCACCCACAGGGTGAATTTGAAATAAAATTATGCACTGACGAGAGATGTAGTGCCAAGGAAGAATGAATGATTGACAAAGTAGTAGAATTACAATATCCACGGTCTACTGAGAATCGAGTAGAATGGGAAGGAGCACTGCTATCACGAGTTGATGTGCGACTGGGCACAGCCTGAATAGTGGATGCTGAAATAGTTGTGGAAGGACCTCTGTACAACAGTTCACATTAGGGAAAAAGCTTTTACGCGACCAAATGCTTGTAGACGAAAAAACCAAATCTGGGTGCCCGTAGCGAGCCCACAACATTAGGGTAAGATATAACAAATAGGATATAGGCCTCGCGATACATATATATTTTTGTGATGCACTACTCATAAGCTTGCTAAAACTCCTCCGATGGCCCGAGTTTCAAGTAGAACATAGGGTTGCCGGAAACTCGAGGACTGCGCCTACCTGATGAGCCCCAAGAAGGGCGAAACCGGTCGTGGGCTGTCGAGTAGTTTTCAGCAACCTTATGAGTAGTACATTACAAAAATATATGCATCGCGATATCCCGTATATGGTAGCGACTGAAACATGAGGCAGCC